CATGAGGGGGCACGGGTGGCCCAGTCGTCTGAGGCGCCGCGATTCGCTGTGCAGACTTGCGTCCCTTGGGCACGCCAGAAACCTATGATTGTGGTTTCGAATCCCGGTTCGCCCCCATTATGTTTCTAGGTTTGTCAGCACCATACCCGTGCTCGTGGGTTTCACCAAAGTGGTAAACGTCGGAGACCTGTATCAATTCGGGCTTTCCTCCCACATCAAGCTGACACCCCGTGATATAACTGGAATACTGTTAAAAGCGGCGTTAAACCCAACTCACTCACTCACTCTCAGTACATGCGCTAAGGCGGATCTAGGATTTGGGTTGAAAGGGTGGATGCACATAATACCAAGGTCTCGAGTCACATCTGAGGTGTCTGAAATTTTTAGTGTGCACCTCCGCATCCCTACCCACCCTCCCCATCCTAAAGAATGTGCCACCCACCCTCCCCATACTAACGGATGTGCCAGTGATTTACGTATATTTCTCTGCATTCCCCACCTAGTCTCGAGTTGAACAGCCGTTAATAACTCCGTAAGGACTTTAGCTGGTTTAAATGATTACATGATCTGACATATTCATTTTGTTGTAAATAATAATAATAATAATAATAATAATAATAATAATAATAATAATAATAATAATAATAAATGCAGATAATGCAGAAGGCTGCAGTGTTGGGGAGTTTTCACATTCTCCGAAAAGTTCTGGGTTGGTTTGACTAGGCAGCACTTCCTGGGAGAAGTCCCATTCGCTGTCTGGGCTGCGTGTAGAGGGGGCAAAGGCCCTGAGCTGATGATGAGCCTAACCAGCCTGACTGTGCTAGGATCACCCAAACCCTCTTTGCTGCATTTTTTATTTTAATCTGTAAATAATAATAATAATTACAAATTGGATCCATATTAATGTAGGAGGTGAGACAAATATACCATACACAATCTTGATTTCATTTCCATCTTGGATTCCGGGTCAGAAAAGTGTCCCCAGCAACCCATGCTTGTCGTACGAGGCGACTGAGTGAGTGAGTGAGTATGGTTTTACGCCGCTTTTAGCAATATTCCAGCAATATCACGGCGTGGGACACCAGAAATGGGCTTCACACATTGTACCCATGTCGGGAATCGAACCCGGGTCTTCGGCGTAAGGAGCGAAGTTCAACGCTTTAACCACTAGGCTACCCGACCGCCCCACGAGGCGGCTGAAAGAATCGGGTGGTCATGATTGGTGACTTGGTTGATTGCGTGGCTTCATACTCCGACGGCGAGAGACGCTCATAATATCAATCACTGGTTGTCTGGTCAAGATTTACAGACTGACGTCATATCACTCTGATATTGATGAGCGCGCATTAAACGACGAACAAACAAACAAACATTACAACAAAACCTTATATATCTTGACCGAGAATGTATATACTGTATATTATGTACTATGGTACGTAACTGACGGTTCTCTACATATCAATGCATAATTAAATACGTTTTTTTGGCGTTACAGATTGGATGTTTCTGATAACTCGTATTTGGTTACAATGTATTAATATGTCTTCAGTACGACGAGAGGAATATGTATCACAGGAATCCGTGTTTTTGTCGTACGAGGTGTGCTGGTCGTTTTGGTTATGCCTTTCTTGCGTGCATTGAAAGGCTTATCTGCTTGTCGAGGTTTGGATAACATCTAGTGATATATGGGTTTCAAAGGACCTTGTCTAATTATTTACAACAGCTATGTTCACGTTGTGAATTAAAGGAGCCTATTAATAGCTAGTTAAGTATGTGAATGCCGTTGAAATAGTTATATTTAAAATACTTGTATGTAGATTCTATTTTGTCCCTGAATGCATTTTACATAAATATAAAACTGAACTCCATGATTTGAAGTTACATACATCTTCAGTACTGAAGTATAAACAGTTTTTTAATAATGACTTTCCATAACCTAAACACATCTGACCTTAAGGATGTAACAAGGTGGCTGAGGAGGAATGTACTTCAGTGTGAGTGGATGAGGTGGGTTTGACGCCACTTTCAACAGCATTTCAATAATTTGTATTATTTGATCACGTATTGTCATCATGATTTGTGAGAAAAGCCCTTAGATGTTTACAACACAAGAGCATGGGTATGGTGCTGATAAACCAAGGATCTTAAATCCGTCAAGTCTGAGATTCGAACCAAGATATCTGGAATGCTCAAGGAAAGCAACTATTTACAGCGAATTGAGGTGCCGTCGACGTTTGGGCTTCCTTGTCCAAAATCGGTAAACAAGAATGAGTAATAAGAATCAACTGACAGTCACAACATTCTATATTTAGACAATGTATAGTTCTAGGCGCTTATACACAATATTCAGGCGACAAAGAGGGTAGCGTTCCGGACTGTTTTGTTCGAAGCGGCTTACTGCTCCATGGTTGAGACGTTGCGACAAACTTTCCAGCATTATCACGGCAAGAGACACCAGAAACAGGATTCACCAGGGTACCCATGTCGGGAATCAAACCCAGGTATTTGACGTAGCGAGTTAACGCTTTAACCATAATGCTAAGGTAAGAGTAACCTCTTAGAACTTGTTTGACAAAAACCTATAAAATTAAAATAAAATAATTCGCAAATACAATAGTGATTTGGGGAGTGTGTTGCGTTTAACACGGCTTTTGCAATATCTAAATCAGAAATGGGCTTCACGCGTTGTACCAATGTGGGAAACCGAGCCCAGGGCTTTGGCGTGTTGATCAAACGCTTTAACCACTAGGCTACCCCATCGCTCCGCCAATACAATAAATTCCTTAAGGTACTGTATGTGTTCTAGTCACAATGAATCGATGGACAGGATACACCAAACTATCTTTTTCACTAACGCGTGAATGTCGTGCAAAGACATTTCAGTAAATGAACCACCAAATTGGCACCTTATCCCGTGCTACATATGATTTCCCTGGCTATGTATTACCGACAGTGTGACTTTAAATCCTATATCGCGTGACTATTTCCTAGCCGTTTGAAAGTTCTCTTAAGCTATTAATCATTCACAATACTAACTTATATGCACCCTGTTCATGTGCTAGGGTTAAGTGTGTGTGATACACAAAAGCTTCATTCCTATTGCTATAAGTTTTGGGAATGTGTCACACAACGACAATGAAGGAAATGTGCAGCGGAAAATAATGTCTGCTTCTTTCTCAAACTGTAATGTCCGACATTACCTATACGCCTTTAGGATAACTTCAGTTGGTGAGTACATAGCTAAATATTCAGTACACAATCATCGTTAGTGCTTATTACGTTGACGTTTGTTTTCAAGGAGAGTCGTATGACGGGGACATTTCCAGATTTGACGCATCAGTGACTAAAATCATGTCCGACTTAATTCCCTATTTGGCTTGTTTCAGGGGAACCATTGACTTGCCTTTGCATGTGTTGTGACGGGTGCCGCCGTATTTTTTCAGATGGACAATAGATTTGCCTTAGTGGGCCACCGGTGGGGCAGGATACGCTCACCTTTTCGCGAACTCCTTGTATCATCACTATTAAGTAGTGATTCCTAAACACACGCTCATGATGCAGTCGGAACCATACAAGCGTTCCTGCAGAGGTTTCTTGTGGTAATGGAAATGGTTTTGTCGCTTATCTTTGAAACGTCCAGTCATACTCCCAGTTAGATCCTTTATGTTAGGGTATCATTTAACGACATGTCATTAACCAGTCGACTTTATCATCGACTGACATAGCACTGTATAACGTCATCAATGGAATGTCACTGCACGTTGAAAATTGATGGAATATCCATATGTGCGCATTTGTATAGATTTGCTTAAATCTGTGCTTACTAACATAGAGAAGTTATGGTGTCTTCTTATAGATGAACGTTTTAGACATACGCTTTCAAAATATTTTGAAACTTTAAATATTATTAATAATACTCTTAATACAAAATTATCAACACTGTGAGTGTGGTCTAATGTTCCTCTATAGCAAAGGGTGAAGTTTGCACAACCACAATAAAATGCACACTACCCCTTCTTTGTTTATTTGTACAATTGGATTCAGTAACAAAGATGGTAGAAAAACTCACGTGTAGTGAGAAATCAGAAAAAAATGTCATTTTAGCCAGTTTAATGAACATGTTTGAAAAATGATATTTTCTGTAACTTTCCCGTGGTCATGAAAGGAACTATCCCCCTCGTCCTTTTCTCGACATCATCTCTGACTGTTTGTTTGTTTGTTTGTTGTTTAACGCCACACGCAGCGATATTCCAGCTATATGACGGTGGTAATAATCGAGTCTGAACCAAGCAATTCAGTGATTGACATCATGAGCATCGAACCACGCAAATGGGATACGATGACATGCATCAACCAAGTCAGCGAGTTTGACCACCCGATCCCGGTAGTTGGTGGGTTGGTGAAGACCTATTCTTACCAGGATCTTCACGGGTCCATCTCTGATTGTAGTAATATGAACAGACAACTGTTCTGAGCGGCGTTAAACTCACTTGTGTTCAATTTGTGTTTTAGGTAGACGAGTATGATGGGTGGGGCCTCCAGTAAGCACAAGGACAGTTCCCATCTACCTGATGTGAGTTGAAATACATGCATACTTTAGATTGCAAACTTAGCATGTGATATTAACAAAAGTCAAGCATTAAGATAAGTATATTGTGACCCTAAATGATTGTTGCACAACAAAGGTTAGCAGTGATGTTTAAGCCTGGCATATATATGAGCACCGCCTACTACATATATCCATAATAAACAGTATATTTAAAAAACGTAGCCTATATTTATTTGCTGACGAACACATTATGCGTGTTTTAACCAATCATTCTTTATTACAGAAATATACAACTTATCCTAGTGAATAGTGGGTTGACATATTGATTTCTACTTGTTTGTCACTCATCTTATCATTTCTAAACTTCATTGCATGGAATATATACGCAGTCAAAGGCTTCAGTACATTAATATACATAGAAGACAATAATTCATTAAACTTTAATATATTGATGGATGTAGGTATGCGATTCGTAAATTCTGATAAAATGGACAAATGAGAACAAAATGGTACTCATTCTCTATCAGCTGTAAATTATACATTCTACATAATCTATCATGCTTGTTTACAAAGTGACATACGCATATTGAAATCCTTGAGCCGAAATCACTTCTGTAAGGACAATAATTATTGTTAAATAAAACTGTCACTAAATAACTTTTAAATGGGTTATGCAAAACAACCTTAGCGCTAAGACTGTCGTAGTTCTATTTTAAGGAAAGGGAGTTACGATCACCTTCGCGCTAATTTCGCTTTGTACAACGGCACCCTGGTGGCTATGTTTCATCTGTCTCAAGACGATGTTAAAACTGTCCTGTTTGAACTGAGGCATTGCATTTGTTAACAAATGTTATCAAAAACTTTTAGAATGATATGTGTCCTTAAATTAAATTTTGTACTACTTGAAAACAACGTATTCAGACAGACAATTTCCCGCAGCCTATTTGGACTTAAACAGTCACATTGTATAGAGTATGATTTTCAATATTGCATCTATATCACGGCGGCCATGTTTGATGGGGGCTACAACTGAAACAAACAAGAAATCGTTATTCGACGGTGATTTATTTGATCCATGTTCTCGGATTTCAAGAAGACACAGATATTTCAAATGTGAAGGTATATGATACATAACTACAAGTTAATTTAAAGTTTGTACTCCAATAATTCTGTTTGTTTCGAGGTTACATTTCACACCGAGGAAACGTCATGAAATAACCTTATCGCACTTTCATGGACGAGATAACATATTTCTTCAGCTCCAACTACAAAACCAGATAATCAATTGCAACAATGTAACGTCTGTGGCAGGCAAATTCTTTTTTCATGAATCTAAAGCATATTTATTTTTTCAAAATTTTTCGTTACAATTTATATTTTTCTATTTCAATAAATATATTAATTAATATCGAATGGTCAGTCCCTAATGGCTTCATCGTATGTCAATCGCTGGACCTGCTTTTAGGAAATGAATATCTTAATTTAAACCAGCTTGAATTACAAATAGGTGGACGTGCCATACTCTGAAAACAACTACCCACCACTTAAGCCGCCCAAGACAAAGAAAGACATTGTTTACAATCCACGACTGTTCACAGCCATCGATGCAAAGGCCAGTGTGGTAAGAAACTCCGATAAGCATTGTTCAAGGCTCTGATTGTAGTAGGGGCTATTGATCAGCCAAACAATCTAAATGGTAAATGTCGTGTACTGGAACATTAAGGTGATTGAGTTTGATTTTGTTTGACTTCAGCTCGGCCTCTATGTTCATTGCACACATAACAACGTTCAGAGAGCGTTATTGCCATTGAACAAAGTACGAAATGTAACGAGTTTTTGAACGTGTAACACAGTAAGATTATACAAATTACCGAAGGTGTTTACATCTAGTTAATTATTCAAACATTACCTTGAAGAAAACTCAGTTGTACAATAGGTAAGATTATCCAATGTCGCACCATGAACGTGCCTGCTATACGAGGGTTGGCTGAAAAGTTCTGAGCCTAACACTGAATGTGAATAGACTTTTCATATTCAGTGAATAACAGACTGGATGTACTCCTGATTAATTTCATCAAAATAAAGCAGTTGTAAAATGGTAACAGGGTCAAACACAAATATCATTTTTACAATTGTGCCAATTTCCATCAGTATATTCCGCGCTGACATACATACAGTGGAAATGTAGAATGCATTTTTTTTAAATATCAACACCTTTATCAAAGCTTATTAGATAGAATATTTTACAAACCAAAATGATTATTGGAGATTCTCTACAATTTTCCGGTTTCCTGTAATCATCAGACATCGAGGGAAGATGCCACGTCCTACCAAACGCTGATCAAACATTTGACAGAAGGGCTTCAGAATGATGTGCAGAAAGTCAGGTCCATATTTGTTTGGCTGGCCTCACAAGAGATCATGTACGACAATTTCGACGATGTCGATGACGTCAACACTCCTCTGGGCTACATGCGGCTTATTCAGGATGATAGGGGAACTTATGAGCAATTCTTTGCTCTTCTCTGCAGGTGAGCTTCCTAAACGGTATTACAACAGACTATGCTCCAAGGTCTGGTGCCCAGTTCCAGTCTAGATCTAAATCTGTGCCATATGTGAAACCGAGACGCTGTCGTTGTAATAACCGTAGTCATGCATTACCTGCTAGAGTGACACACATCATACAAAAGTCAGCAGATACATGAAGAGGATTCTGAATGACTTTGAATCAATACCGGTGGGGCAGAATATATGTGTGTTCATCCTTTTTTGCGAACACCAGGTATCATCACTATTTGATAGTGATTCATAAACGTATTATATAGTCGAAACCATAAAATAGAGATTTCTTATGAGGTGTTAAATGGTTTTGTCACTTTTTTTGAATCAAACTTGCTGGGATGGTCAATTGTTAGTAGCCTCAACATTCCTTTGTGACGCCAAAGTTCCGTGTCTTTATGCTCCCTGACACCGCATTTGATAGCTACATAGAACAATATTCACTCAAACTAAAGACACTACTTTTGTCATAATATATACATGTTTTCATTGTTTATAAACAGGAACGCAAAAATCCCGTGTATGGTTGTGCAGGGAAACATCAAAAGTGCTACATACGAAGTAGGTGACATGGATATTGAATGCATCTATGGCTACTGGAACTTGGTGTACCTCGATGGATCGTGGAGAATAGTCAACCCTAAGTGGGCAATGGTGTCCATTGGGAACTACAGCAATGAACGATGGCACATGATAGAAAAGGATGGGAAGGCAGAACAGCGTGATAAGGAGGAAGGCAGTCTAGTGTATGTGTATAGCAAGGACGACTTCTATTTCCTAACGGACCCTGAGGATCACATATATAGGTGTCTTCCAAGTAATGCCAAATGGCAGCTTCTTGGGGAGCCTTGGAATATGGAAAAGTTTCTGATGGTTCCCTTGGTCCATAATGACTTCTTTGCATCTGGATTAAAATTACCCGAAGGACAGCAAGGTATTGTCGCTGCCAAAGAAGGGGAAGTGGAGATAAATCTCCAGGTAACCAAAGCAGCAAAGGATATCAAATATGAACTTTATTTTGATCAGAAAAACAAGAAGAAGCTTCATGGAGAGAGTCAAATGTCCCGTTATGTATTTGTTAACAATATCAGATCAACAAGATATTTCTTCATTCGCCTCCAGACAGTAGGGAAATACATGCTTACGCTTCTCAATGATGCTGATACACCACTGTGCGACTTTAGAATAGATTGTTCTGGGGTCAAGGGGACATGTGAACCGTTTCCTAAAAATCCTGCCATTGGATGGGGTTTTAATGAAACAGCTAGAAGAGCTGGGTTGTCTAGTCCATCGCAAGAAAGCGGCATTGTGACCATTGATTCAAAGAAATCAGTAGATTTTACATTCAAAACGCAGAAGGGAGTAGATGTCAAAGCCAATCTTTTACACAACGAGATTCCTACACCAGAACTTGAGAAACATGTCAACCAACACAAAGACGGGGACAAACTCACAGTAACCGTTGACATACCAACGACATCTGCAAAGAAAGAGTATGCCCTTGAAATTAATGCTAAAGACAGTTCAGCTGCCAAGCACCGAAACGTTGCAAACTATCTGTTAACAACTGAAAAGAACAAACCTCATGATATAGCATCTCGAGGTACAAAATCTACTACAAATGCAGCATCAGAGAAGCGTTCAACCCAAACAAACACGAATGGTTATATCAAGAAAGCAAATCCATCGGAACCATCTGTTGACACACAAAATGAGTCTGTACAGGCCAAAGGAATGTTTTCCTTTCTTTCAAAGAAACCTAAACCCAAGGGACCTTCTTCTGAGGAAACTGAAGGAAGCGAGGAAAAAACTGCAAATGGACGCATGCCTTCTAAACAGTCTCAAACTGAAAATATAGACACCAAAACTTGTCAAACTGACGTTGAAAAACCCGGAGACCATACAAAGGAACCATCACAACAGTCAATGGCCTCAAAACTTAAAAACAAAACATATTCTTTCAAAATCAAAAACAAAGAAACCAGTCAGGGTTATGAATCCTGTGACGTGTCTGCCGAAGGGGTTCTTAATGGAAAAGCTGTAGAGAGTAACCATAAGTTACATGGGTCGAGGCGAGAGTCTCGAGCCTCTAGGAATGCAAACTCACTTTCACCAATGAGAACACCTCTTAATTCTCCTTCTCCTGAACTGATAACAGATTACAGTTGCCCGGCCCGCATTAAGCTGATGAAGGAAGCTTATTTGAACAGTAGTCACACTAAAGATACAGCATTGTATAAACCTTATGCAAGACAAAAGTCATCATCTCCCAATCCTGTGGACATTTCTACAACTGATGAGAAAATGAAAGGAATTGCATCTTCAGCGGGTCCTGGGAAATCAGGCAAAGTTATAACTCCGAAACAGGGAAACGACATCTTTAAGAATCCACATCCGAATACTCCTGCCTCAGACACTGGGTCAACTAGGAAAGTGAATCCAAGGCCTACACGCTCACAGCCAGGTTCATCGCAAGCCAATACGCGTACATTAACGGGTTCGACCATGTCTTCTGATGTCCAGAGTACCAAGATACCCTCACCTTCACAGATAACAAGGACGGGCATGCCAGGTATCCAAGCATCAAGAACAAACAGCAATAACATAAAAAACCTTCATCAAAATTTAAGTAAAGGTTTCAAGACAAATGAAAGGCCAAAACAGAATCCTGAAAAGGTTGGTGATTAATATGTACATATCACATAAATGTGTTATCAGTTTTACACTGGATTTCTATTAACGTGTTTTGACAATAGATCAACCAGATAAGCTCAAGTTTTCATTTTCAACTTTTCAGAGTGAAGAAGTACAAGGAATCAGACAATCTCTAACTGTGAAAGAAAAAGGACAACATAAGACTGGCAGTGGTTCGAATTCCTCATGCAGGAAGCATGGTGTTGATCGTGATTTAATATGTGCAGGTAAATATATCTGATCATGCCTACTACGCTTGTAGTGAGTGAGTGTGTGGATGAGTGAGAGGGGTTTGTAACATTGTTCCAGTTATATCACGTCGTGTCAATTTACAAACTGACATAGCTACCAGACACAAGCAATAACCACACAAATATGAATGATTTCTCTTCATTTGTTCTCTCCATGTTAACTAACCTTGTTTTGTGTTGAATTTGTTGATGTGAGTAATGACTCGCATTTATCAATTATTCTTAAATAAAAAAACATTTATCTCTAGATCTTAAAAGGGCAATAGAGAGTCGACAATTATCGGAAATAAACAAACTCCTGGCAAAAACCGGTGTTCATTCCCCTGATCCCAAATTAACGGAACTGAAGGAAAAAGCAGAAACTGTCCGGACCGTGATTAAACGAATGAACAAGTACTTGCATGATGTGATGGCAGTCAACCAAGGCACCATTGCAGAGATTCATAGCTATAGCCACCCCAAGCCAATCGTTCATGACGTCATGAGGGCAACATTTCTCCTTCTAGGAGAAAGGGGATCACAACTACGGGTTGGTAATGTATATAGTGTCATATCTTTCGGAGTCTTTTGAGTGAGTGAGTGAGTTGGGTTTCACGCTGCTTTGAACAGCATTCCAGTTATATCACCGTGTGTCAGCTGAATGTGGGATAAAAGCCCGACGTGATCCAAAACACAAGCAGAATAATCGGGTCGAACCGGGCGGGATTCGAACCCACAACCATAGGTTTCAGGAGGGACCAAGGGACGCAACTCTGCACAGAGAGAATTGCGGCTCCTCAGACAACTCGGTCACCCGTGCCCCCTCAGACGCCTGAGTGAGTGGGTGCACTGGACGTGTATGATGCTCACAGATCACGGTTCGTAATCGGGTTTGATCTTGTAATCTAACCGACCATCAACGGATTCTGACTTATGTAATGAATGCATCTCCGATTGGGTGTTGACCAGGACCCACTTGGACAAAGCAATCTTAGCGCTAAGACTATCTTAAGCCTATGTTAAAGAATGGGAGTTACGATCATCTTAGCGCTAAGGTCGCTTTGTGCAAGTGGGCCCAGAACTCTTCCCCTTCCCCCTTACCCGTAGAACCAGATTAGGGAAAAGCTTGAACCACCAGTCTCGACGATTTTTTAGCAGTGGGATTTAGGTAAACTCGGATTAGTGACGCGCGGTACCAAGTTAGGCCTCTTGGAATTCAAAACACGTGAAACATCTTGTACAGGTATTGAAAATTATTCACGTAATGAAAATGTTATCGTAACTTTTATTTTCACTCTAGCGCGATTATCTAGTACCGGTAGATATTTCTCATGTATTTCTAGTCATTTTAACCACTTCAATAATTATACATATCTGGTTGTAAATCTAGTGAGGTGAGGTGGGGTGAAATGGGGTTTAACGTCGCGTCCAAGATTATTGCACTTATATAGCGACGTGCATGTACGTGTGTATGTGGCTGCTTGTACCAGTCCGGACTGATGCCGATTTATAGTGCTAGCTCACTGAGATACCATGCCGCAGTTTAACATGAATACCCCACTCAGACACAGTATACTGACTCCGAGCCGACCAGTCCTTGTTTTAGCCCCTTAATGCCGAGCGCCAGACAGGGTAACAACAAATACCATCTTTTAACGTCTTATGGTATGACGCGGTCTTGGATCGAACCTTCCGCTCTCCGGGCGGACGCTCTACCACTAGACCACGGAGGCGGTCTTGTAAATCTAGTGGTACTGTTGAATAGCTTATTGTACTTACATATTCCGTATGGTTTAGTTGATAGTTTGCTATTCGGGCTTTCACTATGTTAGGAAACACACTTTGGTTACCCTACCAGGCTGTTGCATTCCCACGGCTGACAGGACAGGTTGTTCCCTACGACGTCCGCGCACACGTATATAACCCTTGGCAAAATGATGTGCCTTCACCTGCAGATATCCTAGACCGTTCACGGGTCGTCTTGCTACTGGTTTGGTCAGATCGATACTTAGGTTTCGTTTGAAAGCGGTTATGGGGCACTGTTCTCTCTGGTACTGACTTACTTTGATGGTATTGAGCTTAAACGTATCAGCTAGGGTTTTTCAAACTTCGTTTTTTTCTAAAAATACGTGGAAATACTTTCCCGCGATTGTCTAGTTTAGGTCAAGTACATATTTACTATTGGGAGTCAAGTTACGCTTTAGGCCAAGTAGCTTTGAATCTAGATACTCCTAATATTAGTATATTGTAATGTTGGGGAGTTTAGAATTTCCTTGCAAAATCAAAGTGACTAAGCCTTTACTCTACAAGGAGTCCAGGAGACTTATTTCAGGGATCGGCCCTCTGTGTTTATTTCCCGTTAGTTCACCCAGCCGAGGTTATTCATTCATTAGCGTGTTGAATTGATTAACTCCCAGGTGTTAATTGGTTGCAGCCGACTTAACTGGCTGTCTATGCATCTTCTCAGTACCTTGTCAAAGTGTGGATTTAGCTATTTTCTTTTTATTACTGTTATACATGGCATTGTGTGTTCACAGCTTTCGGCCATGGGAGCCGTGCCAGAGGGGTACACAAAGTTTGTGATCTAGACTATCAGTTGTCTGACTTCCGTTTTGTGGAAGCCTCGGTGGCTAAGTGGGTTAGATCGTTGACTTTGTGTGCTGGCGATTAGGTGCCTTACTCTGGCAGGGTGGGTTCGAATCCCGGACGGGACTCGACCCAAAAAAGTACGAGGATCTGTACTTTACTAAGAAAGTGTTATCCCAAATATAACATTTGTTTATTATACTGTTGCTTAGCTAATCAGCTTGTATATTTGTTCTGGTTAAATAATATATTTGTATTTGTTATAAAAACTGAATCAACATCAACATGACAACATATATAATATTTACGACACGTAAACACGAATGTGAAAATATATTTTTGTTATTATTATCATTATTATTATTATTATAATTATAATTATAATTATAATTATTATTATTATTATCCTTTTGTTGTTGCTGTTGTCGTTTAGAAGTGGCACTACATACAGCAACTCATGAGACGCACCAGCAAAGACGGGCTGATCGTGAGGATTCAGGAGTTCGACGTCAACAGCATCAGTTTGGATCTTGCTGAATACGTCAAAGTGATCTTGGACGCACATGATCCAGACATAGTTCGCCTGACAAGTACAGGAGCCGGAGCTTTTTATATTTGGGTAATGTCTAACGAGTAAGTGAGTGTGAAGGGCTTTACTCCGTTCAGGCACTATTGGAGCCAACATGGATGCAAATAAATAAAAGCGGCAAACCCTTTCAAGTAACGGGTTTTACACAGTGTATCAACATAACCTGGCCTCTTACTCAACTGGGACAGAAACATAGGACCTTCCTGATTATGTTTCAAAGTTGTCAACACCATGCCATGCTTGTGGGTTGCACTAGAGTGGCAAGCGCCTAAAATCTGCATCACCTCGGGCTCTCCTCCCACGCCTAGGTGACACACCGTGATATAACTGAAATGCTGTTAAACACACTCGCTCACAAACTTACCCAGTCGTCTAAGGCGCCGCAATTTGCTGTGCAGAGTTGCGCCCCTTGGGCATGCATGCAACCTATGATCTTTGGTTCGAATCCCTGTTCGACACGGCTATGTTTCTAGGTTTGTCGGCACCATACCCGTGCTCGTGCGTTTCACCAAAGTGGTAAACATCTGAGACCGGCATCACTTCGTGATGTAACTGGAATAATGTGAAAAGCGGCGTTATACCGAACTCGGTGATTGACATTATGAGCATAAATCTACGCAATTGGACATGCATTAACCACGCCAGATACTGACACACTAAGCCAAACAACCTGGCCGATTTTCGTATTCAAACAAGTTATTAGCGGATCCTGTACGGTATTTGGGTGCAACTCTGCACAGCGAATTGTTGCCCCTAGGCCACATGATGATTATGTTCTCTGCTTGAAATAACAACACGTGGGAAATATTCTAGGTATATGACATACATATATGTGTCTTGGTTTATACTTTAACATATGTCCCTTATACTGGTATGGTCACCAAGGCATCATCATTTGAAAGCTCAAAAAGACCCTGAGATCTCTACACTGGCTACCTGTACAAGCACGTATTGGGTGCAACAGATTGTGTTGGTCGTACCAAGGACTATATAGAACAGCTCCACTATACATGTATGAGCTCGTGTCCCAATATTAACCATGGCGGTGTCTCAGATACAACGGTATTTGGCGGTAAATAGTTTAGATCTATTGCTGCAATTGAAATGGAATGAAATTCCCGGCTGTCTCAAGAATGCTGAAACACTTCCAAAATTCAAACCCAAGCTCAAGACGTATCTTTTTAAAAACAATCTTTGACTTTTGACTTTGTTTTTATATGCGCTTTGAGAGTGCTAAGGCGTCGAGTTAAGTGCTTTAAAAATAAACATATCATTATTATACTTTCAGTGTAGAAACATCATCAACGAAGTTCAACAGACTAAACAAGTTGCCAAGTAACCGGTGAACACTGTAAAGGCTGACATCTGTTAGACCCGCTTCAGAGCCGCCAGCGAGGCACGACACGTGTGCTGCTGTAACCAATGGCACCACATGTGTGCATGTGTGTAGCTGTATTAAAGTACATCACATCATCCGTACATGTGTCTAGATGTAACATAGTATTCAACGTTGTGTTTACATGTGTGTAGCTGTAACATAGTACACCACATCCTATTTACCAATGTGCAGTTGTAACATAGGTCACCACATCCTTCGTACTCATGTGTAGCTGTAACATAGGTCACCACATCCTATGTACCCATATGCAACTGTAACAAAGAACACCACATTCTATGTACCCATGTGCACCTGTAACAGAGTACACCACATCCTATGAACCCATATGCAGCTGTAACATAGTACACTACATTCTATGTACCCATGTGTAGCTGTAACAAAGTACACCACATCCTATGTACCCTTGTGCACCTGTAACAAAGTACACCACATCCTATGTACCCATATGCACCTGTAACAAAGTACACCACATCCTATAAAACCCATATGCAGATGTAACATAGTACACCACATCCTATGTACCCATGTGCAGCTGTAACAAAGTACACCACATTCTATGTACCCATATGCACCTGTAACATAGTATAACCACGTCCTATGTACCCATGTGCAGCTGTAACAAAGTACACCACATCCTATGTACCCATGTGCAGCTGTAACAAAGTACACCACATTCTATGTACCCATATGCACCTGTAACATAGTATAACCACGTCCTATGTACCCATGTGCAGCTGTAACAAAGTACACCACATCCTATGTACCCATGTGCAGCTGTAACAAAGTACACCACATTCTATGTACCCATGTGCAGCAGTAACAAAGTACACCACATTCTATGTACCCATATGCACCTGTAACATAGTATAACCACGTCCTATGTACCCATGTGCAGCTGTAACAAAGTACACCACATCATATGTACCCATGTGCAGCTGTAACATAGTACACCACATTCTATGTACCCATGTGCAGCTGTAACAAAGTACACCACATCCTATGTACCAATGTGCACCTGTAACAAAGTACACCACATTCTATGTACCCATATGCACCTGTAACATAGTTTAACCACGTCCTATGTACCCATGTGCAGCTGTAACAAAGTACATCACATCCTACGTACCTATGTGCAGCTGTAACAAAGTACACCACATTATATGTACCCATGTGCAGCTGTAACAAAGTGGGGCGGTCGGGTAGCCTAGTGGTTAAAGCGTTCGCTCGTCACGCCGAAGACCCGGGTTCGATTCCCGACATGGGTACTATGTGTGAAGCCCATTTCTGGTGTCCCCCGCCGTGATATTGCTGGAATATTGCTAAAAGCGGCGTAAAACCATACTCACTCACTCACTCACTCACTGTAACAAAGTACACCACATACTATGTACCCATGTGCAGCTGTAACAAAGTACACAACATACTATGTTCCCATATGCACCTGTAACAAAGTACACTACCTCCTATGAACCCATATGCAGCTGTAACATAGTACACCACATTCTATGTACCCATGTGCAGCTGTAACAAAGTACACCACATCCTATGTACCAATGTGCACCTGTAACAAAGTACACCACATTCTATGTACCCATATGCACCTGTAACATAGTATAACCACGTCCTATGTACCCATGTGCAGCTGTAACAAAGTACACCACATCCTATGTACCCATGTGCAGCTGTAACAAAGTACACCACATTATATGTACCAATGTGCAGCTGTAACAAAGTACACCACATTCTATGTACCCATGTGCAGCTGTAACATAGTACACCACATCCTATGTACCCATGTGCAGCTGTAACAAAGTACACCACATACTATGTACCCATATGCACCTGTAACATAGTATAACCACGTCCTATGTACCCATGTGCAGCTGTAACAAAGTACACCACATCCTATGTACCCATGTGCAGCTGTAACAAAGTACACCACATTATATGTACCAATGTGCAGCTGTAACAAAGTACACCACATCCTATGTACCCATGTGCAGCTGTAACATAGTACACCACATCCTATGTACCCATGTGCAGCTGTAACAAAGTACACCACATACTATGTACCCATATGCACCTGTAACATAGTATAACCACGTCCTATGTACCCATGTGCAGCTGTAACAAAGTACACCACATACTATGTACCCATATGCACCTGTAACATAGTATAACCACGTCCTATGTACCCATGTGCAGCTGTAACAAAGTACACCACATACTATGTACCCATATGCAGCTGTAACATAGTATAACCACGTCCTATGTACCCATGTGCAGCTGTAACAAAGTACACCACATTCTATGTACCCATGTGCAGCTGTAACAAAGTACACCACATCCTAAGACCCATGTGCAGCTGTAACAAAGTATACCACATACTATGTACCCATGTGCAACTGTAACAAAGTACACCACATCCTATGTACCCATATGCACCTGTAACATAGTATAACCATGTCCTATGTACCCATGTGCAGCTGTAACACAGTACACCACATTCTATGTACCCATGTGCCCCTGTAACAAAGTACACCACATCCCATGTACCCATGTGCAGCTGTAAGAAAGTACACCACATCCTATGTACCCATGTGTAGCTGTAACAAAGTACACCACATTCTATGTAACCTTGTGTAGCTGTAGCAAAGTACACCACATTCTATGTACCCATGTGCACCTGTAACATAGTACACCATATCCCATGTACCCATGTGCAGCTGTCACATAGTACACCACATCTTCTGTACACACGTAGACGGGTATACCGAAATAGTATTTTGACTTTTCTTGGAACTTGGCCTTGCGACCATTTGATACTTGTGTTCCAGAAAATGCCGGAAAATATAATTTTGCCTCAGGTTGTCTTAAAGGTATGATGAGATTCCCCTGATAGTGACTGCATGCTCCTTCAGAGAAACATTATGAACAAGCAGTGACACAAAAGACTCTTTGGGATGCCTCTATATCCCAACCCCCTAACCAAAGCTATCAAATGGCCGCCCCCTACAGTAACATTGTGAACACTGAGTGCGTGTTGCACCTATGAAACAGAAGACTCATGATTAAGAAATGTTGATTCACATCACCAATCCTAATTGTGAATTGGAAGATAATTTCTGCAAAGGTGTAGCTGTGCGATATCACGATGTGATGCCTGTTTCAGTGGGCTCGTGGTGGTGGTCGAGTTACCATATACCCCATTTACACAATCTGATATGCAAGGTTGGAAATAAACAACGTGCAATTCTGAAATGCTTGCGAAACACACGATCAACTCACTCCTGTCACGTATTGTTCTAGATCCTGATGTCTTGTTTTTCTTTGATACACGTCTACGAATTAAATCACTGCTTCAGAAGGAACACCATCCTTTTGAAATCAGATTAATGTAAAAATGTCAACAGTTGAAGCCATAGTTATGTCGCAGCAGTGTATTCGTGTTGTACATATTAAACTTTCGAATCTATCCCTCCGTGTTTTCTTGTACCCATGTTTCGTGTTTCGGATTATTTTTATCCTGAAATCCGAGATATGGCCTGTGGACAAATCTTGATGTCATGTTGCATGCTCGTGTGGTGTTATGTGCGGCTGTGTAACTAAAACGTCGAGTAAGAAGTTTGTT